ATTCACATAAGGCTACTTTGTTGCAGCTTCAGAGCTCACAGGTAACTTGGCTAGTACTTTAGGGGCATGCTGGGTGCAGATTATTTTGTAGTAAGCAATTTTAAAACATATGGCAGAAGTATTTGCCCAACCCAAGAGCCATTTAGTTATTGCATGGTTCAGGCACGGCATTAGACAAAGGAATTCCTCATGAAAAACAAACGAACGGCTTGCTCGCTCTCAGCTGTGGTATATTAGAAACTTGATCATTTATACTAATTGGAGAACCGTTTCTCTGGCACGTCTTTCCAGTGTTTCTGATCCTGGCACCCCTATGCCACTCATCTTCTCCTGCTGCTCTGTGTGAAGTTGATTTGGAGAGGATCAAAGCCAATGGTGAATTAACAAACAGTAGCCATGGCTTTTTGTATTTTTTTTTTACATTTAAACTAGTCTTTAGACTGCACAGAACATTCTCTTCCTTGTCCTTTATTTGCATTCCAGTAGCACCTAGAAGCTTCCTACCAAGATTGGAGCCTCATTGCGCTAGGCACTGTACGAAATGAGACAGTCCCTACCTCAATTTTATTTACAAGACAAGCAAAGGGTGGCAGAGGGAACAGAAGCAGGGAGGAGAAACGGCTTGGTTACACAGCAGGACAGAGCCAAGAACAGAACCCAGGTGTCCTGACTCCTAATGTAGTACCCCTACCTACTGAATCATACTACGTTTCTTTAGCATTTGCATGTTCTGACCGAAGTGCCATAGACTCTGTATCAAGGAGCTGAATTCTGGAATAAACCCCCCTTGGGCTATTGGAGCTGCAGACTAGAAAGTCTCTGGCATCTTAACGTAAATTAAAACAGTGATGATCTTGCTGAAATACAGCTTATGAAAATGACTAGTACAATTGGAACAGGAGCTCCTGTGCTATTCGGTTTGATATATTCCATTTATTTTACGCTGACCCCATATTTTCAATGTTTGATGGGCTGCAGATTTCTGTATTGATAATGCAGGACTGCACCGAATAGATGAGGTCAGCAGGAAGCGTGAGGTTTGGGTAGGTGCGGTAGGGTGAGTTGAGACTTAAGCACCTAGGCAGGCATGCAAAGGTGGGATAATCGGACATTATGATTAACTGAATGTTTCTGCCACTGTCCAGCAGTGAAATAGTTAACGAAGTTGACATATAAATTGTCCTGTAGATTTCAAAATTTGTCAGCCTAAAGTAATGAACAGGGATGGTTCACATGTATTGTTTCAGGATGTCTGGAGACTCAAGAAGATAGCACTGCATTGATTTACACTTGGTTCCTGTTTTTCAGATTGTATTTCATACCCCGTGAAAACCAAACAAACAAACTCCCTCCCCCCTCCCCAACAAATTTAGATATTGGTGCCAAATTCTGGAGCGAGGGGTGGAGTCGGTAAATTCCATGGTTCTGGTTGGAATAGGCAAAATACTATCATGACACACGAAGAGCCAGATACTTGTGTGATGGCTCTGAGAGTCTTCAGATCTCTGGAACCATATCAACAATATAAAAAATTACCTTTAGTCACCGTAACCAGTGAGCAAGAGAAGCTTTAACCTGCTGAGATCTTTGCTTTCATGTCATCATGCTTAAGTGTTTGAAGCACTGATCGAGACAGCAGAAGCTCCTTCCCTTCCCAGGTGTGCAGCGTATCTGAGTTTTTAAAGGCCAGTATACCCACAGGGGGGAGATATTTTGCATTAACGACTAAAGACTAAAATGTTGTGATCACATAGTTCAGAATTATCCTTCAACCATTGTTCGGAAAACAAAGTGTGTCACATAGTGAAGATGATGTTTCAGCTAAACAAGAAAGCCCCCGCCTTTCCCATGTGATATTCGTCTGTAATGTTTTCTGCTTCTTTCCTTACCTGTAACATGGAGACGATACTTTCTTGTGTCAGAGGGGTGGTTTGATGTTTGCAGAGAGCTTTGAAATCCTGGCATAGAAGGTCCATTATAAATGGAAAGTATTATAACATTAATTTTTATGATTTGGTTTCTTTGCGGAATGTGATTTTTGTAATACACAGCACACCACACCAGCATAATGGTTATAGCATGAAACTATGCTAGCTAGCTGCATTCATGAATTGAGAAGCTGCTTAGCTGCAAAAACAAGTTGATCAGAATTAGGAGGATGGCAGGCTTTGTCCCTGATTCTGTATGCTGCTTGGGTAGGGGCGCAGGGGTCTGCTCGCATGGAGCAGCTTTCAGGATTGAGCCTTAGTGCATGTGTTGACTGCAAAATTAGCCCAGCCTGTTACTCGGGTGTTGCCCCTAGCCCACCCATCCACACACATCCCTCCCACCTGAGCTTAGTGGTGCTTTCAGTCTGGGCTATCTGGCCCACAGGGGTATGACTCAGAGCCCAAGTTCTACTTTCAGATGGGCTGGTGACTCACCTGTTGGAATGAGGATGCAGGCTAAATAACGCCAGTGCTGATAATCTTCCAGTGCCTTCCCACCCGTCCCCTGCTCCTCCTTCCGTATGCCCCAAAGGCCAGACACGTTCTCTCGCAACTCACTGGGAAGGAATCATAGAGCAGCTCAGCTTACTGCAAAGCAAAGAACCATGCAGTATGTCCCCAGAAGCCCTAGCACCGCCAGTGAAGACATGGTAATTCGACTGTGGCTTGGCAGGGTGGATGCTGACCCCTGGTCTAGGCTAAGCCGGGCATGCAGACCTTGATGCTGATTATGCAGGCTATCTCTGCAGTGAAGACACACCCTTAGAAACAAATGCTTTACCACGAGTCTGTTTCAACCCTTGGATTCTGAAGAATTGATGATAAAGCTCCATAGACCTTTTTTATCTGTATCAGTCTCTAGCTCTGCAATGTCAGATCTTCATCTGCACAAGGTCCTGATGCTGGCCACAGAGGAAGGATGATCCAGTAGTTAGGGCACTAGCCCATGGCCAACCTGGGTTTAATTCCTTGCTCTGCCACAGACTTTCTGTGTGACTGTGGGCATATCACTTAGCCTCTCTGTGCCACAGTTCTCCATCTGTACATTGGGGCTAATGGCATGTCCCTACCTCCAAGGGGGTTGTAAGGATAATATATTGGATTGTGAAGTGCTCCGATAATACAGTAATGGGGGCCATATAAATATCTAAGGTAGAAAGATATATTTTCATTTATACCAAGCCCTTTATTCTGTCAGGACAGGGTAAAGAGGTCCTTAGTGTACATTGCAATCCACCTCAAGAAGGTTTTCGCTTCGACTATGTTTCTGCTAACCCAGTGGTAGCACCAATAGGAATGTTTCCCCAAAATTCCCTACTGTAGAACATGCCTCAGACAGCTTTCTTTTTCTGTTCCAGGCCTGTAGGATGTTCTCTGTTGTACACTCCTTTTTTGGTTTGTACTCAGGGCGCAGACAAGCTCAAACCTGATTTTGCCTTGTGGTTTAAAAAAAAAAAATGTAATATAATCTCTGGACAAATTGCACTTTAATTGTAGTTGTGCTATGAATATGGACTTGGCTTTCAAATGTTACTCTTGGTTTAAACTGTAGTTTGACTTTTATTTAGATAAACGTCATTGAGTTCATTGTGAAATGGATATCTGCGCTAGGCTAGTATTGATTTAAAGGTCTCCTGAGTGTTTTAAAAGACAGTAGGCGCGTAAAGGACAGCATATTTTGTTAAAATAGATGCTTATATGATATTTCAGACCTAGATTCTAGTGTAGCTATTAAGGATCTACACTGTGCTGTCAGTAGGCATTGTCCTCTTTCACAGCAGGTATTTGCAGAAGGTTACATGTTTCATGCTAGCCAAAGAAGACTTTCGAAGTAGTGCAACTTTTCCACGTGTGAGGGAAAAATTACACCGTTTCCAGCGAGCAATTGAGCATTCTGAGCAGCTGAATTTTGGGGGGTTTATCTAAACCTAAGCCATCAACCTTTTGGGTCAGATTCAGAGGTGGCATATGGACAGTACAAACTCCAGATCAGTGAGAGGATGTGACCTCCGTGCAGAGGAGGCAAAAGGCCTGGGTTGTAGCAGGAATAATAGCCTAAAGCAGGCTGTCAAAATGATGTAAAACTAAAGCAGGCCACTCATATTTATCTTACATCTGCGTACACTTGCTTTTTTCCCCGCTATAACCCCAGCTATCTGCCTCTTCCTTTTGTATGTTTTTACCAACACCACCTGCATCCCATTAATGAGCCCCCATTTGAGTCTCACACATTGCTAGTTGATTAGGTTTTAATCAGCATTTACTCTATCAGTAACTCCTCCTTACCTGAATTCAGGCAGGTTTTACCTGTAATGTGGGGTTTGCTGATCATGCAGATGTGGGATGAAAAATCTGAATGGAACTTGGGGAGTTGAGGGTTTTGCAAAGCTTAGTTCTTTAGAACTGGTGCTGTGTATTTGTTTTCTCACACAATGTTGTTCATTAATTATCCTAGTCTGCCCAAGGGTTATTCACTGCAGTGGCGGTGAGTGTTTGCGCAACCACATTCCCAATAATTTGGCACAATTGTGGATGAAATACATGCAACACCATATAGTGAGTTCCAGGCCAAAGTCTATGGTAAAAAGGAACCATTCAGACATATTGATGGATGTAGCCTTGTTAGAAAATGTAGAGTACGTACTGAGAAGGAGATTCGCTGATATAATTCACAGGGAAATAACCTGTTTATCTGTGATCAGTAGCTTGGTTATGAATAACCAGAAAGAAAACAGTAAACTTAAATGTATCCTGTTAAGACAAATTAACTGCATATATTAATATGAATGGGGGAAAACCTAGGGAATACCTGTATATGTTCTGCTAGGAGAAACAAAGTATTCGGCTTGTTTACTCAGCAGAAAGTTTCTCTTCCCCCTCCACCCGATTTCTTAAGTGCTCTTGTAAAATAGCAGATCATCTCACAATGCAATCTGGAATAATTAAGATGACCCGGTTTTGCTGAGCACAGTGACTGTAGTTTGCTGATCCCACTGTCTCTTATTTTAATAGAAACCTGAGCTACAACAAGTTGACGGAGATCGATCCTTCTGCCTTTGCCGAGCTGCCGAACCTACGGGAAGTGTAAGTATTTTTCCCAAGGCTTTTAATTGCATTTTTGCCAGGATGGCTCACGGAGGTTTCCCAAGACACCCCTTAGTTGACTTGGATCAGCAGATCGGACATGGTGTATTTTTCATACTGTACCTGTGTGCTACCTTTTTTTGTAAATCAGTCAATTAGTAGAACACAACATCTCAATTAAACTGGCATGCAGCTATTGGAAATCATTGGTGTTTGCCTCACTGTCTGCTTCATGCATGGCTCTGTGGGAGTAGCTCAGTTAACGCACCTGAGCGCACACACGACTCTTTGCTGAAAGACTATCCCTGCAGCAAGGCAGAACAGACTGAGCTGTGACATCTGATGCCAGCCTAACCCAAATCTCCCAGGAAACAAAGGTGTAGTGTAATGGACAAGAAAGCACTTAACTCTGTCTCTTCCTGCCACTGGAGTTTGTATTGCTTTTGGAACCAGTACAAATTTTGTTTGCAGTCTGCTTTGAGAACCTAAATGATGGGTTTTGTTTCATGTTTTTTGGGGGGGCTGGAGAAGGACAGAGTACTAGTAAAAGAGATCCCCTCATCACAGATGATATTAGAAGGAATTTCAACCCTGGACTTGCAAGGCTCTCATAACTCTGATCTCTGTAAACATTCACTGGTTAATGCCCACGCTGCTGCTCTGATTGTCGGATGTTAATAGCACTTCCATGAGCCCTGACTTGAGGTAGTGAAAAATGAAAGTGACTCAGTGTCTTCAGTGGTGGGTTGAGGTAATGGTCTTTCATTAGAATGTTAAATTACTGGCATGCTTGAGGTTTGGTTTCTGTTGGAAAAGCTTCTGATGCCCCCGGGAAGCTGAGGAAACATTTCCTTTTAGAAATGCCACTGTAGGTATTGTGTGTTTCTTCTGGTCCTTCATCCCTTTTCATTAAGCATTGGCTCTTGTGCCCAATCCTGACTTCCTCAGGTGGGCAAAACAATTTACATCAGCTGGAGTCTTGTCTGACTGATGCCTGCAGGATTGGACCCTACAGATGAACCTGCTACTTCTCCTCCTGCCTAATCTTCTGTGGCCCTCCTGATTACAGAACAGTCAGTTGGTTATTAAGTAACAGGTTCATGATCTTAGATGCAGCAAGAGGAGCTGGAGTGCTCTGAGACAAGCATGATTATTTATAAGAGCAACAATGAGTAAAAGGGAGAGATATAGACCAGCAGAAATGGTTTCTGTATAATGCATCTTCCAAGTTCATTAAACTCCGGAAAGCCTTAAATTGCTCAGGGTGTAGAGAATAGAACCACAGAGCCAGTCCCACTAGTCTTGTGTCACTGAATGTTACCCTAACGCGACGGTGGTTTTATACGTGAAAGTACCTGAAGGCCTATGACCTCAGGGGCTAGCTGGGCGTGTGAAGATTGGAAGCTTGGTACCTCAAGTCTTATTGCTTATATTGTACCCAGTGAGGATGGGGCTCCATTGCACTAGGCGTTGTACCAATACAGAGTAAGGGCTTGTCTACACTACCCAATCCGGCAGGTATAGATGCGATAAATCGACTGCTGAGCACTCTCCCGTTGATTCCGGTACTCCACCAGAACGAAAAGCATAAGCGGAGTCTATGGGAGAGCATCAGCTGTCAACTTACCGCAGTGAAGACACCATGGTAAGTAGATCTAAGTATGTCAACTTCAGCTACGCTATTCACGTAGCTGAAGTTGCATATCTTAGATTGACCCCGCGCGCGGTAGTGTAGACAAGCTCTAAGAGATTCTCTGCTCTGAAGAGTTTACCACCCAGAAGGGGGAAAGGGATACAGCGCACAAGCAAAGTAAAGGAAGACCCTTCTCAAGCCTCAGCCCATCAATAACTGGTGTCTCAGTGAATCAAGACGAGAATTGTGATCTGGGAGCATTACCTCTGATTGAGCCACTTTACTGGGATAGACATAAAGGGGTGTTGCCAAATTAAAAATCACACTGAAGTGAGAGAACTGTTGTTACATATTGTTGTTACAAGCCAGTCAGTGCTACAACAGGAGGGCGACAATTGAAACACATTGGAGGAAAATGGGCTAGAGTCTCAATTACATTAAAGCTCCTTTACACCCCTGTGGCAATTTAAAGGGATCCTACAATGGATGTAAATGGGAATTAAGCCCAAATTATGTAAAGTATGTTCATGTGTGTGCCTGTGCACACACAATGTAAATTTTATTTCCAGTTTATTTTGTGTATTTGACTGCACTTTGCAGCTAGTCACTGTAGAATTGGTCAGTTACTTTTCCCGTTTTGTGTTTTGCCAGCTTTGCTCACCGCCACAGGGGAGAGAGACTTTTTTTTTTTTTTTTTTTAGGTAGAGAAAAACTTATTGTAAAACCACACAGTTTGAAAGGGGGAACTCAGGAGGCAGGTGAAGTACCTGAAAACGTCCTCAAAAACAACAAGGAGTCCGGTGGCACCTTAAAGACTAACAGATTTATTTGGGCATAAGCTTTCGTGGGTGTAAAAACCACTTCTTCAGATGCATGGAGTGAAAATTACAGATGCAGGCATTATATAATGACACATGAAGAGAAGGGAGTTACCTCACAAGTGGAGAACCAGTGTTGACAGGGCCAATTCAATCAGTGTGGATGTAGTCCACTCCCAATAATAGATGAGGAAAGCTTCCTGTAACTCTTTTTAAGTGACCAGATTTCTAGTTGGGTTTGTCCTTTACAATACACACAAACACACCAAACCGAACTCACCAGTGTGATTTTTATAGTGGCATGGTGACGACTGTATTGCCTTCCCACCCCCTGGTACTTTTGAAGATTTTAGGAGAATGTTAACATCTCTTTTGTTTAATGGTCAAACAAGGTGGACCCCGCTTACAGTGCATTTTGAAACAGGTAACCTCCATTGGGGGCAGGGCGGGGGGGGATGTTTATAGGCAATGACTTCACTATGCATTGGTTTGGTTATGCCACAGACTTCCTATGTGACTCTGTGTGAGTTCTTGCTCTGTGCCTCAGTTCTCCACCTGTAAAATGGGGATAATAATCTTTCCTCCTCCTCCTTCTCATATTAATATGCTATTGGCATTACCTGGAAGCCCATGTGAAATCAAATACCTTGCATAGTATGTGAGAAGCCAAAAGAAAGTTCTGTGGTAGATTCACTGTGGAATTCCCTGCCCACACACACACAAATTGTACAAAACCAGGATTAATTTAAATTGCCCTTATCTCTTTCGTCCTCCCATCTTGCACAAAGGATGGCACTGGTCCACTTCTCTTCTACACCTTCTGCTCATTACAAGTTGCTTTGCTCCTTGTGGCTGGCTTCTTATATTTGAGTCCAGGTCATGCGTAGTTTTGAAGCAGCTGCAAGAAAGATTTCTCCCTTCATTCCTTTGGAGGGGGATCTACCTTTTGCCTAGTAGTGTGTGGGGGGGAGTCAGGTATTTGTGTTGCATTATTATTAATTTTCAGGAGGCATCGTAAGGACCTCTCTGCGGGCTTTCGAATCAGAAAGGATTTTTTGCTAAGTGCAGCCGTGCATTGACCTCTTAAATTCACATTATAGCAGAGTCCTTCAGTCTATCCAGAGGAATAGTTTTATGAGGGGCAGGGTGGGATTGTATAAACAGGAGTCTAGAAAGATGGTAACGAGAGACCCTGTGAAATTCTGCATCATGGAGGGGGCTCCAGGACCCCAGGGGATGTTAGTCTTGCAATGAGTGCTGCCCCTTGCTCTGTCTTGGCAGTGGCAAGGCTGTAATTGCTTCAGCATGGTCAGGGGGAAGCAAACAAGATGGCCAAGAAATTAGGTAATTTTCAAGCAGCCAGACAAGCGGCTGTTATAGTAATTAATTGACTAATTCACTGTACAAACAAGGGCTCTTTAAACTGAGGAAGAGCTGGTCACATGACACAGATCTGCTTTCACTCGGAGAAATGCTTCAAATATTAGGCTGTGGAAGAGACATTTCTGTATCCGATTGCTCAGTAGTGCAGTAGTAGCCAAACCTCCTCCTCAATTGTTGTTGGCTCTGCAGAACAGTAGCTGATGAGTAATGTTCTTCAGAAAGATTGCAGGTACCCCGATCAGAGCAAATGTTCGCTAGACATGTGACAGATGTGTAAATAGAGTTAGTGACCCATTTTGAATTATTTAAAGTTATTGTATTTAACTTTTTTTTTTTTAACTGATGGGATTACGGCAACAAAATGGTGGCTTGTGGGCCTTTTTTGAACTACTTGCATGACACTTTTAACATACCATCATGGGTTTTTCTAGGTGTGTCTCTGCAGAGTGGCCTTGTGGACAGAGCACTGACCTAGGTTTCAGGTGACCTGACTTCTATTCCCAGCTCTGGAACTGACTTTCTGGGAGACCTTAGGCATGTGACTTCCCCCTTCCTGCACCTTCAAGACCCCATCTGTGAAATTAGGATAATGATACTGACCGCCTTTGGAAAGCGTTGTGAGATCTATGGATGAAAAATGCTAGATAAGAGTTAATTGTGCTCTTCAGTTTCTAAAACAGTTGAGCCAAGCAGCCAGTATCTTGCTTCCTGCCTGAGAGTAAGAATCAAGGTGACATGTCGGAACTCAATGTTCGTAGCAGAGATGAAGCCTACAGGTGTGGTAGGAGAGCTGGCCTGGGAGCCAGGAGATCTAGGATTAATTCCTGGCTCTGCCATGGACTACCGATGTGACCATGAACACATTACTACTCACTGCTAGGACAGCTTGTAGGACTTTGGCCTGTCTGTCTGTCTGTTCCTCCTCTTGGATGGAGCTTCTCCCATTTATCCTTGAGGCGGCTCTGGTGCTTACACCTGGTCCACACACAGTTTTTATGAATTTAACCAAACTAATTTTTTTTGTTAAAGTGGTACAGCCGCTGCTGTGGTCACAGTCCTGCTGGCAGAAAAGTGCCTTATACTATAGTTTATTCCCTAAATGTACCGGAATGAGTTATACCAGTATAATCACCAGTATAATCACCAATATAACTGCACCCAAACTAGAGAGCTATATGTAGACTAGTTTTAAACCAGTATAGTTAAAATGGTATAAAAATTGTGTGTAGACGAGCTCTTTGGGGTAGGGGCTTCTCCTACTATGCGTGTGTAGCATGGCTAGCACAGTGGGGCACGGATCACAGCTGAGGCCTATGGGTGCTTGTGCCAGACGAATAAATGCTGCTGATGGTCCTGAGGTTCCGTTCCCAGCTGTGCCACAGACTCCATCTCTCCGTGCCTCTGGTTTCCCGTCGGAAAATGCGGCTCACTGTATCTAACGCACCCTTGGTGTCACGAGGTTTAATTTCACCTGTGGCGTGCTTGTGCTCCGACTCTCATGAAAGATGCGATAGGTGTGCATATAATTATCCTCCCACTAGCTTCCGTGGAAGCTGAGCTCGAGTGGGGGCCGTGCCATTAAGTGTCGACAGGTTGGTATGGTGTTCCACGAATGCTTTTCAGTGTGGCGGCAGCTCTTGAGTGTGTAACGGGGGGGTTAACCGGACATGCTTTTCGTAGTGACTTTGAGATAGGAACGGCAGATTCAGCAGACACCTGAATGTGGAAACATTTGCCAAATGATCAGACTTGTAGGCGAGTTGCGCTCTTGATGACAGGTAATTAGCTGGGCATTCATACAAAACACCTAACTCAAGCCAGATCAAGCTAGTACATACTTCATCCTGAGCTGCTTGTTTAAACAATTTAATTTCTGTTTGTTCCAGACGACTGAATAACAATGAGCTGACAGCAATTCCGTCCCTGAGATCTCCTTCTTCCCACATCGTCTCCCTCTATCTGTAAGTCATTGCTCCAGCATGCCTGATCTTTTTGCTTTCAACAGTCGGTTGTCATTTACAGGGTGGCATAAAGTGTTACTGACGGAACGCAAGTTCCGGTGCCGCCAGCTTTTGGGCTTTTATGTGAGCCTCCTGATACGTGGTGGTTTTACTAAAGCCCAAACTCCTGGAGTCAGGAGAACCTCAGCTCTTATTAAAGCAAATCTCTAGCCTGAGTGATCGCAGAGAAATGCTGGAAGATGTGACCTGAGTGCACCCTAAAGGCTAAAATCCGGAAGGCAAATAAAAAGAAACCAAAATTAATTAATTAATTAAAGAAATCTCAAGTGTTTAAGCCACTCATGATTTTGGGAGGCCTGACTTTTGACCATGGGGATAGCGGTAATACTGCAAGTCAGAGGGCTGTGCAGAGAACTTCCAATTCAGAGGCAGGGAAGCATTTCAGGAGTGGTAAACATCATGCAGGATAGTCACAGTCGGTAGTGAGACCGATTTTCAAATAAGGTGGAGCTTTCAGCCCCTGAGTCGCTGGAGAGAGAAGAGTGATGAGTAGGAGCATTCAGAGCAGCTGCCTTTTAATGAGCATTATGTAACTAAACTGGACTCTCATCTTCAGTTAGCAAACATTGGTATGAAAGTCTGAAATGTAACTTCTCAGGCATGGAGGTATTTCTCTCTCCCTCTAGTGATGGCTGGGATTACACATCTTAAAGGCTGTATAAAGGGAAACTTAGCCCACTGCTCAAAACCTGCTTCCTGCATTCTGAGTCAACTCTAAAATTTGCCCAGGGAGCGATCCAACTAGCTAAATCAGCAATGAACCAGCAGCATCCTTTATCAGTGCATTGTGGCTGGCCAGTAGGAACACCTTTGTGTCTTAGGCTTTAACCTTGTGTTTGCCTCACCTGTGTTTACTTTTAAAAAACGAAACAGAATCAGCAGGCAGCACGGAGGGGACTTGGCTTAAAAATGCTGTTAATCATATTGCTGCTTGAGTCCGTAGCTCTGAGTTGTGTGCTGGCAGTGAGCCCTGTGTTCTGAAGGCAAAGCACGCCTGCTGACTGCCCCGTCTCTCTTTTTAAGTTAACTCTTTCCAAGGTCAAGAAGGAGCTGTGACGCTTGGCTGAGCACGGACTAGAGAGATGGTATTTTAGAAGGATTGTGTAGCTCTAACACACCCCTACTTTGTGTAAATGAAGCATGGGGTAGCTTGGGTTAGCATTGGTGTAACATTCAAAGGCCAAATGAAAATCTCGGAACGCTAGAATTAGTGAATTAGTTCTCAGAAATATTATTTTATGGAGTCATCCAAAATAGGCAGCTGCCCTTTATCATCTCAACAGAGCCTATGGAGATGCCTCCAATTTACCAGAGGGCTTGATGGCCCAGTTCTGCTCAGCAGCACCAGTGTAAATCTAGACTAATACATTTCATGTGAAGTGGAGCTGCTCTGGATTTCAGTGGCTGTGACTGAGCAGAATTTGACACTGAGACTCTGAGCTTTGGTTGCTATTTCAGAATGTTTCCCTTCCTCCATCCTGACACCTACAGAGGAATTGCTAGACTGGAACCATCTTAGAGTAGTGAGCCATTCTGTCTCTGAGGGTCTGTCTATACTGCAATTAAAAACACATGGCTGGTCTGTGTCAGCTGATCCAGGCTAAGGTGCTGTTTAATTGCAATGTAAATGTTGGGCTCATGCTGGAGCCCGGGCTCTGGGACCCCATGAGCGATAGCCTGAGCCTGAACTTCTACATGGCAATTAAATCGTGGCTTAGCCTGAGCACCTAAGTCAGCTGACACAGGCCAGCCCTGAGTGTTTAATTGGAGTGTAGACAAACCCTGATAAGAGATCACCCCTGTCTGCTGATTGGGGCAGGGAGGAGGGAGGGCGGAGTGAGGGCAGCTGGCTTCAGCAGTGATACTGAGCATGCTCAGTCTGTGTGAGTATGCTTCAGTACAAGCCAAGCAACAAATCTGGGGGGGCACATGACCCCGCATTCCCCCCGCCCATGCGTCGCCTCTGCCTTCATGCTTCATTAAAAGATCCGGTAATCCCTCTAATCATAGGACTAGATCAAGGGGCCTCGAGAGGTCATCTAGTTCAGTCCCCTGCACTCATGGCAGGACAATTATGGAATACCGATAGCAGAAGTTTATTCCTAACCCTGTCCGTTGGGGGGTTGGTGTATGCCCATAGACATGAAGGTTTATCCTCACCCTCCCTTTTTTCTCTTTTTTTTTTTTTTAACGTGGATGTTCTCATTATCCATATAGATAGCTAATGCTTTAATCTTTGAAAGTTTTTGGCCTCATTGATATCTTGTGGCCATAAATTCCACAGGTTAATTCTGTGTTGCTTAAAAATAATTTCTTCCCATCAGTTGCCTTTCAATCAGTTTCATTGACTGTTCTTTGCTGTTGTATTAGGAGAGTGTAAATACAAGCACCAGATTTTATCTTCTCTGTACAATTCATTATTTTCTATTCCTGTATCATGTTCACTTTTTTTTTTAAAAAAAGGCGGAGAGTGGGACTCTTTATATTTTAATCTCTGTTCTCATGAAATTCTTTCTAGGCCTCTAATTCTTTATATTGGTCATCTGCGGATCTCTTCTGTTTATTGGACCAGAACTGAACAGAGGGTTTCAGGTGGGGATGGGAGATAACATTATAATGCCATTATAACAAGTTATCAATGTTATTTCCTATCCTGTCTAAAATATCTGCTCTAGGAATTACTTTGGGGAAGTTCTGTGGCCTGCGTAATACAGGAGGTCAGTCTAAGTGATCACAGTGGTTCTTTCTGGCCTTGGAATCTATGAATCTGTGATTCTGTGAGTTCTGTAAACGCCCTAAGATTTGGGCTTTCTTTTTGCCTGTGCTGTATATGTAACAGATATTTTCACCGAGTTGCCCACCTTGACTCTTACAGTTAATGTAGAACCCAGCAATGAGCATGAGCAGTAGCTTTCATTGTGCATGACCTTGCATTTGTAAACGCTGATGTGCGTCTCTTCCCCTTCACATTAGCTGCTCTTCTGCCTTTTCCACTAGTGTCGGTACCACTAGGTGATTTTCCCTCCAGGGCCTAAGCAACTGTGAATGCTTTGAAGCAACCTTGCTCTGCTGACAAAAATTACATTTATATTACTTAAAGCAAGTGCAGAATAAAGTGAAACAAGTTGGCTCTGTTCCTGCCCTTCCATTAGGCTGTGTAAAAATATGTAAAGCAGAAGAACTTCCTCCCAGTCTCAATTCAGTTTGAGGAACTTAGCTTGAAATTGGCAGCCACATCTCTCTTTTTTGGCATGAGGTGAGTTTAGTTTTTATTTGAGATATGGTTCCTTTGAAATGTGGATACTAAGATCTAGTATTTGGGTTTAGTGCACTTTTGCACATCCTAGGTAGGGGCAAAGCACTCTTCTGTTACCACCAGTCCTGGATCTATAGAGAGACCTTCAGCAAAATGGGTCAGCAATCACTTCTGGTTACTGGAAAAACGAGAAGGGTGCTGGCTTATACCTCAGCAGTTGTGGGTTGAAAGTTTTGCATATAAATTGCCAGCTTTCCTCAGCTGCCAAACATAAATTACTCCCAATAGTTGGAGTTACGCTGCCTCTCTGCAATAAGGATCTTATTGTTTAGTCCGCTTAGGAGAATCCTGCAGGCAATTACATTTCATTTTAAGTTTTTATCACAGGCAATAAATGATCTAAAACTATGTTTAAAATGACCTGTGTTGACTAACATTACTAACCGATTGATTAACCATTAGAATAGATTACCAAGGGAAGAGAGACATTCTCCATCACTTGGAATCTTTAAATGAAAGATATGCTGAAGTTCAACCACAAGTTATTGGACTTCATGGAGGAATTACTGGGTTACTGGCTGGTGTTCTGTAGGAAGTCAGACTAGATGATCGTAGTGGTCTCTTCTAGCCTTAAAATTGTAAATCTATAACTGGGAATGTTGCACAGGTCAAACCCAGAGTGAAAATTCAGAATTAAGGTGACAGGTTTCAGAGGAACAGCCGTGTTAGTCTGTATTCGCAAAAAGAAAAGGAGGACTTGTGGCACCTTAGAGACTAACCAATTTATTTGAGCATGAGCTTTCGTGAGCTACAGCTCACTTCATCGGATGCATACCGTGGAATCTGCAGCGGACTTTATATACACACAGAGATCATAAAACAATACCTCCTCCCACCCCACTGTCCTGCTGGTAGTAGCTTATCTAAAGTGATCATCAAGTTGGGCCATTTCCAGCACAAATCCAGGTTTTCTCACCCTCCACCCCCCCACACACAAACTCACTCTCCTGCTGGTAATAGCCCATCCAAAGTGACAACTCTCTACACAATGTGCATGATAATCAAGGTGGGCCATTTCCTGCACAAATCCAGGTTCTCTCACCCCCTCAGCCCCCTCCAAAAAACACACACACAAATTCACTATCCTGCTGGTAATAGCTCATCCAAAGTGACCACTCTCCCTACAATGTGCATGATAATCAAGGTGGGCCAAAAAAATCCCCCCACACACAAAACACTGGAAAGCTCATCAAAACCCTCCCCCAAAATGAATGAAAAAAAGGGCTGTCCAGCACAAACCTGGATTTGTGCTGGAAATGGCCCAACTTGATGATCACTTTAGATAAGCTATTACCAGCAGGACAGTGGGGTGGGAGGAGGTATTGTTTTATGATCTCTGTGTGTATATAAAGTCTGCTGCAGTTTCCACGGTATGCATCTGATGAAGTGAGCTGTAGCTCACGAAAGCTCATGCTCAAATAAATTGGTTAGTCTCTAAGGTGCCACAAGTACTCCTTTTCTTTTTGAGAATTAAGGTGGTCATTTTGTCCTGTAAGAGAGAAACTGGATTACGCCTCAGTGTGTTGCACAGCAGCATATTCCTTCTTTTAAAGAAAAATAAATATATTCCTGTTTTTTTAAATGTTTACAAATGTTTGAAGTGTGTTTACCTCAGAAACCTCTC